GATAGCAGCGTGCAGAAGACGCCTTGCGGAGGCATAGCTCGCTCGGCAGACGTCTTCTTTTCGCCGATCACGAGCTCTCTGGGCAAGCCTTTGCTTGCAGGCATGAGCGCCGGAGGTAAGCAATTTCGCTTGTCCACCAGTACACCGCGTCACGACGGCGTCGTCCATTTGCCTTGGTCATAGACGCATTGCATGCACTGGAGATGGCGGCCATGAGCCTCGTAGCCATCTTCTCTGTAGGCTCGGGAGGAACCGCGGTCCCGGCCATCATGACTGAGAGGCACTCTGTGTCGAGAGTGCGTGCGTTCTTGCAGCTTTGGCGCGTCGTGGGTCTGGGCGGTGTGGTGGTCTCTATCTCAAACATAATGGCCTGATGTTAGCGTGTAGAGCTTGTTTACAGCCCATGATGTAATTTGGGAAGTGTTTAGCAGTACAGCTTCAACGATAGCAAACGCGTCAAGGAGGCGGGCAGATCCAGCTGTTGTTGCCGGCTGTATCCGCTGGCACTGAAGACGATGGTCAATGAGAACAAGTCCGTCTTGGCCTCTGACATCGTTGTTGTATTCGTTGGGCGGCCTGGATGCAGCCGTCGTGGCGTAGCGTTTAGGTGTCGCGCAAGTCCCCGGCGGTGACTATGCAGGCTGCTTACTGGATGCACTGACCGAAAATATTGGAGACGTGCAGACCGCCTTATCCACAGTAGGAGGTTGAGCGGGCTCCAGGCTTTTCTTCGTCTTATTGAGCGCCGAGACGGCCTGTACAAGACTCGCAGTGTACCTGGTCACCTCCTTATGTAAGTTATTTTTGCCATCGATGAAAACGGCAAGATCACTCACAAATCCTCTGATTCGAGTCCACTTCCCTTCATGACTCCCGGTCGCAAAATCTGCGGGTGCCAGGAGCGGAAAATCCTTGGTTGTCACCAGAGGGGTGCTAAGAATTTGGCGCGTAATTGCCGCCGCAATCATCGGGGGGGAAGACCCGATCTTCGTTGGCATCGGCAGCAGCGATCCACTCTTCGTTCGGCTCTTTCATTGGCCGATTTAGGCGCCTGTTGTTTCCACTGTCCGTCGCACATAGCGGCCGATTCGACCCGAGCCGACTCGACAGCACAGAGCACCGGCACAACGGCGAGCGTGAATACCGATCAAAAAAGTCTTCAAAAATATTGAAAACTTTTATCAAGACTTCATAACAATTATTGTGACTTGAAAAAATTTTTTCAAATCAAACAATTAGTTGCCTTACCCGTCTGAATACTTCGGAAACCAAATATTAGGTTTCACAAAAATTTTTAAAATTTATTTTTATCATCGAAAACTCTTTGTATCAAATACGAACATTTATAAGAATTTTGAAGATTTATTCACTTTTAGAGAGTTTTGTTAGAGCAGTCAATATTACATATTCTACAGATAAATATGACTCTAAATATGACGTGTCAAAAAAGAAGGAGAGAGAAAAAGAGAGTCGTTGTCTCGCGTCGCTATGGGGGATAGTTCGTATATTTGTGGCTGGCTTGCGATTTTTCTATTCTTCAGTTCGTGACACTGAACAGATACCCGCAGACCATGCAGCCAAGCTCTCCCCTCCTGGTGCGCAGCGCAGTGGCGGCTTTGTTTCCGCAAGTGAACAAAGCGAGTGAGCGGGTCCATCTTACAGCTGCCACGTCGAGCAGGAGAACTTACCGCAGCCACCACTTTGGAGGAACTCAGAGAAGGAGGCAGGAGGTGGCTCCGTGGCACCAAGAAGCCGTAGTGACTCTAGAAGTGAGGAACGCGTTCAATTCACCCCAGTGGGACAACATCCTCGCCGCTTTACGCCGTTTGCTCGTACCCGATTACTTGCTGAGAATAATTTCCAGATACTTCTTAGCAAGAGTGCTCGACTTTACTATGGACGATGGCCCAGAGTCCTACGAAGTCACAGCAGGTGTCCCACTGGGGTCAGTCTTGGGCCCGATCCTGTGGAATGTCATGTATGATGCCATCTTGCTCCTCAACTTCAAGGACGATGTCCGTATTGTCGGCTTCGCGGACGACATTGTAGTGGTGGCTGTCGCCAAGCACCTATGGCAGATCAAACAAGTTTTGAACGCTGCATCACGGTTGGTGACCACAGCATACGCTCGTCCCCCTCCATCCACTACATGGGCCTCCACATCGATGTCAAGCTAAAATTCGATCACCACCTCAACAGTCAGCGCGCAGGCAGCCTGTCTGATCGGTGCCCTTACGAAGATCATGCCCAACTCTGGCGGCCCCAGAAGTAGCCGACGTAAGCTGTATGCTCACGTTGTCGACTCCATACTTCTATATGGAGCCCCTATATGGAGCTCAGCCATAAAAAAGCGGGCTTACATTCGCCAGGTGGAGTCAGCCCACCGACGAGCTTGCCTGCGTATGATCAGTGGCCAGCCGCATGTCTTTTACGAGGCGACATATGTCCTTGCTGGCCCTCCTCGCGGACGAGCGTACGTGGCTCTACGGTCACCGCGGACGCAAAGGACGAGGAACGCTTGGCAACGCTAAGTAAATGGTAGGAAGCATGGGACCAGTCAACGAAGAGCCGATGGACGCATCGGCTGATCCCACATATCAGAGTGTGGATCGAAAGGAGACGAAATCGTGAGGAGATCAAAAGGGTGTAGATAGAACGAAGAGTTAAACTACCACCTTACGCAACTCTCGACCGGGCATGGCTTCTTTAAACATCATAGCCGACAATACGATCACAACTATAGCGCGCAATGCCCGGTTTGTCCCTCATTTTTAGGCCCTAGAATCTATCGCCTTTAATTAAAAAATCTGAAAAAAGTTGAGGTTATGTATTTTGATAAAAAAAAAACAAGAAAAAATTTTTTTCAGATTTTTTGAGGCTTCGCATCGTCCTAAAAAAATTATTTTTGTCCAAAAAAGGGGTTTTTGGCTTCAAAAAGTGCTTTCAAATCTCTGAAAAGGTTTGAAAAAATTTTAGGTTACTTTTTTGAATCAAATAAAAAAGTTAAAAATTGTTCGAAAAGGTTATTGCATTCTAACGCCGTATATGAATTTTCAAAATTTTCAATGATTTTTTATGAAGGCCTGAAGCACTCTAAAATTCTGGAAAAATTCGAGGTTGTTTGAATTATTAGAACATATTTTTGTGAGTTTTTTCAGATTTTTTAATTGCTTCAGGCCTTCAGAAAAAATATAGATAGAAAATGGATGTTTATAGTGGAGGAGGGGGAGGGGGGTCCAAAATTTTACTTTGGCTCTTTTTTATCATGTACTATAACATACCAAAAGCGCTTCAAGATCGGTGACATACGTGCAGACAAAAATTTAAAAAAGTATTATTTTGACCCAATTATATAGCCTTAAAGAGCGCAAAATTACTTTTAAGTCTGTATACTTTAGGTAGTTATCTGACCAACAAATTCGGGCATATGTCTAGAAAAAATCTGAAAAAATTCATACGCTTTTCTTCACATATTCTAAGACTTTTTTGTTCTTTTTAAATTTTTCGTAGAGTTCATACTTATTGAGATAAGAAACCGCGAAGATTCATTGCTTCAAATTTTAAAAATTTTAATCGTTTATAGCTCTTGAAAAATAGATTTTAGAGAAAATTCGCATGAGCACTTTTTGTTGAAATTGATCCTAAAAACCTTAAAGAGTGGGTTTCAGGTCAAAAAGTTTAAATTTTTATTTTGGCAATGCTTTCACATTGACTTTTTTGAAAAACTGTATGGTCAAGTTTTTCCAGTTTTTGAGCTATGTTTTAATACATACCGAACAATCATCTCCTATTTTTTGAAAAGATTTTATCGATGCGTCTTTTTATAATCACACAAAATAGCGTATTTTCGACATGCTAGCATAGGAATCCTGTGTTAAGGTACCGAACTTTTTTTAATTATAGTTCGGAAATGGTTTGGTTAAATTTCCTGAAACTTCTCACACATATAAAAGGCACTGTCAATAATATGGGTTTAAAATTTCAAGACCCTTTATCGATAGACATTTTTTTGATGAAACTACCGTAAAAAGTCTTTAAGTCCTTCAGACCGCAGATACAGCTATTCGAAATTTGACTGAACACTCAAATATCATGTCAACTGGTCTATGGAAATGACAGATTTAATCCTTCAATTCTCAGTGAAACTTCAAACAGCTATATTTTCATTTCTAGAGGACTTCAAATATACCAAATGAAAGGTAATTCTGTGCTCTTTGAGTTCATACAGTTTATTTTGAGGTTTGATTTTGCCTAGCATATGTAACATGTAAAGTTCTAAAGCTATACTTTGTTTTAGGGGCCTTTTTTGCACGTTTTTCGATACATAGTAGCGTCTCCAGAGCATAATGCTACTCAATCCATTATAAAAACTTACAAAGGAGTAGTTGACATGTTGAGGAAGCTTCTTGAATAGTTTTGGAAAGGAAAGTCCAGATCATACTTCATTAGATTTTGGGTTTTTTGTTTTTTCTAGAGTGCTCATATCACTTTAGGGCCTATTTTTTCTTAAAATTTGGATGATTTCCTACATTGAGCGAGAGCTTCATGAAATATTTGCGATCTTTGATGAATTACGGAAAAATGCAAAAAATTGCCAACTTTGGAATTCTAAAAATAGTTGATAGAAGGCCCCAATCGCTTTATACATTTTTTTGTACATTCCTGGCATCCCAAACAATGTGTTCATCACATAAGATATAAAAAAAAAAGTTTTGACTGGTTGAGTTGATAGAGAATCCGCCATATACAAATTATTCGAAACTAGAGCGTTTGATATTCTAAAATGGTGAGTTATCAAGCATAAACACGATAAAAGATGCAGAAGACAATTAAAATTTTTATTGTATGTCTCAATTTGTATTGCTTTGAGAGTTTAATTTGAACTAAATATTTTGAAATTAGATATTTAAACGTATACCTCTTATTCGAATTATCAAACAATGATCAATTAAAATTTCTTGATTAGTTCATAAAAATTAATCCATGATTTTTGTACGTACGAAAGAGCTAATCCATTATAAATCCAAGCTCGCCAGCCAGTTTTTGATGTATTGTCAATTCTCGCTTCTAAAGTTTGACACAGTGCCTTTCGATCGTGACTTTTTCCGCATCTTAAATCACACAGAAGTCTTTTTTTGCAGTCATCAGCACATGACGGTCTCACAGGTGAATTTTTGAAATAGTTTCTGTGAAATGAACAATAAAAAATTATTAAATATTCTCTAAAATAAGGAAATTATTAAAAAATTAAATTTTAAAATCCAAGATTGCATAAGTTTCATTAACTTTGATATTTATAATAGGATCGTTTGTATCCTAAATAAAATTTGAAATAAAATTCACATACAAGTTTCTTATCGAAAACTTACATTCAATCTTACGTAATATGATAAGACAAAGCCGCTCGGACAACAGGCACTCTACTCATCTTCATGATCAATATCGGGGGCCGGAGGAAGCAGGCTTTACGTTCGTAAAGCGTAAGGGCTAACCGGGGGATTTTTTAAATCAATTATTTTTTCATTTTAGACTGTTAAAATGAAAAAAAATTTTTTTTCTTCAAGAACTCGACAGATGCTTAACGAGCCGTTGCTCGTTCAGTAATCGCGTTGCTGAAAAGGGTCGAAATAGTCGCAAATTAATAAAAAAAAAAATAAGATGGTTTGTTCGCGTAAAAAAAATGAACAATAATTTATTTAATACTAGGACCGCACGCACGCTCGCAATAATTACAAGTGCCATTCGGTCGCTTACTCGTCGCTGAAAAAGTCGCCTGCAGGATGTATTCGCACAGCGTCGTCGCTCGACTTGTATCCACGTTGGTTCGCTCGCACGCAAGGTTCATAAATACTGTTCGACACTCAGACACGAAGTGAGGGTTAGCGTGCTGCGAAGATCGATCATAAGTCCCTGAATTAATTATTATCGTCTCCCCGTCGTACTTGAAGTACGACGAGCCACGCAAGTTACTTATCTGAAAATATGAATTCGCGTTCGCGACTTAGCGTGCAAATTATACTTTTGCTTTACAGTATCTAACTGGACAAAATGCCTTCAAATAGGGTATTGAAAAGGTTTAAAAGGGACTAAAATCAGAACTCTTACAAAGCCATGGTTTCTCACCACGAAATAATACATAATTACAGCCACACAGAAAAAGAAGAGAGACAGAAGAAGAGAGGATAGGTTTTAGTCATAATTAGTAGAGAAGAAAAGATTACGCCTATAAACATTCATATTCTATCTATATTTTTTCTGAAGGCCTGAAGCGATTAAAAAATCTGAAAAAACTCATAAAAATATTTTCTAATAATTCAAACAACCTCGCATTTTTGCAGATTTTTTGAGTGCTTCAGGCCTTCAGAAAAAATCATTGAAAATTTTGAAAATTCATATACGGCGTTAGAATGCAATAACCTTTTCGAAAATTTTTTCACTTTTTTATTTGATTCAAAAAAGTAACCTAAAATTTTTTCAAACTTTTTCAGAGATGTGAACGCACTTTTTGAAGCCAAAAACCCCTTTTTTCGACGAAAATAATTTTTTTAGGACGATACCAAGCCTCAAAAAATCTGAAAAAAAATTTTTTCGTGTTTGGCCTTCAGAAAAAATATATATATAGAAAATGGAAGTTTATAGCGGAGGAGGGGGGCAGGAGGGGGAAGGGGGTCTAAATATAAAATACCAAAAGCGCGTCAAGATCGGTGACATACGTGCGGACGAAAATTTAAAAAAGTACCATTTTGACCCATATATATTGATTGGTTACCGTGATAACTCCGCGTAACCTGTGAAATTGGTCGCGGCGTGAGCATTTAGTTTACGAACCCGCGTTTATTTACGAGTGCGTGTTGTATCGTGCCTGTTTATTGACAAGGTCGTGTGTTATTTACCAATGCGTGTCGTATAATGCGTATTACTTTGCAAGTGCGTGTGTTAAATTTACCAGTGTTATACCCGTGTTATATTTACGTGTTACTACGTGTTATATATACCCATGTTATTGTTACAATGGCAAAGTTCTTGGGCACAAAATTAATTGTGGATGGGTACGTGTACCTCCGATTACGGCAGGCAAAAGGAAGAACCTACTGGGACTGCAATAGCCTGCGAAACAAAGGAATGTGATGCCCAAGCAATCACGCTTGGGGACTCGGACGACACTTTGGTCGTATTGCAAGGACCAGTCGAGGAGATTCCTCCAAATCCTCCAGATGTAGATGAATGCAGTGCAGAAAAAGTTAAATTGAGGTAAAATTAACTTTAAATGTGGAGTGATTCTAGTGGTGGTATTGCGAGTGTAATGCGCCTTATGCTAGGATTAAGCAGAGAGCTGAAGAGCATCCCAAGGAACCGCCAGCTTGAATCTTGCCTTCGGAACTGAGTGGCTTGTCCAGTGGTGTCCATAGCCACTTACCAGATCGCGAAAATTTGAAGAAGAGTATGCGGCGTTCGTTGAGGAAAAATTTATCCCCGAACCCAACCTCCATCGATGCATTGAGTGAAATACCAGAGCGGTTCACCAAAACATCGATGGACGAAAATTTTCTTCTCTACGACTCGCAGGACAACGACACCAGAGTCATTGTTTTTCCTACACGAAAAAATATAGAAATTTTGTCGCAGAGCTACATATGGTTCCTGGATGGAACATTCAAGGCATCTCCTAACATTTTCACACAGGTCTTTACAGTGCTTGGAGTCGTGCGTCGATAAGTGAGAGATGCTGACGATGAAATTTCGCGCACGGAAGTAGTGTTTCCACTCGTGCATGCTCTATTGTTGTCGAAGGAAAAAAGCCAGTACACATCTGTCCTAAGCGTCATCTTAGAGAATGCAACAAATTTCAACATTCACTGCAGACCAGAAATCATCATGACGGATTTCGAGAAGGCTATCATTAATTCATGTGAAGAGATATTTCCAGATTCAAGGGTTGTTATCCCCACTCGCTAGATGAGACCACTGCGTGTGTCCCCACTTAAACGACATGCACAGCTTCACTCGTCCCCACCTTGCGCCGACGGCCAATCAGCGCGCTCTTACTTGCTATATAAGCGAGGCGCCCAGCCAAGCAACTGAAGTCATCTCTCGGCAGTCATCCAGAGCACATCGACTCACGTCCTCGTGCTCGCGTTGACGAGTACTCGAGAGTTTTGACCTAGGGCAACTTCTCAATAGTGAACTTGGTCAAATTACAAATACTCGCCTCATCATTTCATCATCTTTCTCCACTTTCTGATTTTTCAAACTTCCGACTCGGCCGCTAGGTGGCACGGTGCCACTAAAAAGTCGTGCCTGCAAGAGAAAAGGTCGAGTTCAGAGTACTATAAGTGCCTTTCGACCCAAATCAATCAGCTTTTGACTGCTCGACATGTTACAAGTGAGAACAGAAAAGTGGATCGACTTTTGACTGTTCAACTTTACAAGTTGGAACAGAAAAGTGATCGGATTTTTTGTTACTCAACTCTCACGAGTCAAGTGACAGCCAAGCATCCCCAGCCAACAACGACGTCATCGTCCATCTAACCATCACCTCTTTGGAGAAGACTGACCTTGCTGAGGACTACTCATCAGCGGCAGACGGTCACCATCGGTCTTAGCCGGTCAACATGGGTCACAGCCGGTCACAGCCAGCCATCCTACATAAATTGACAGTCTGCATGCAAAACTAGTCCTTTTCAAGACTAAACGTAGAGATTTCAAAACTTTGTAAACTATGAGGCAAACAAATAACATCGACTCTCCTTACACGGAGAAAAAAATATAATAAATATTGTTAGAATTCACAGTAAAAATTACTATAATATCTAGTAAAGAGGTGACATCGACACACTTTAGTAATTTTTACTATTCAATGTAGGAAAAATTTATTCTTTTGAATTCTATCAAAATTTCCCATTTATTACAGTAATTTTTATATTATGAGTAGTAATGTTTCTTGTTTGAATAGTAACTTTTCTTATACAGATTAATAATCATTGATATAAACTGTATTAAATTTTCCGTGGGTAAATGAAATTTAGAATAAAAATTTTTTTTCATTAATCGATTGATTTGATCTCATTGGAGGTTTGAAGGTGTATTTTTCGAATGACAATTTTGGAAATTTTATTATTTTCGGGACTAGTCGTATCAAACTCTAACCGCACGCTCGCTGTATTTTAATCCTACCTAATCTAAATAACCTAATACTACTACTAAACGCACGCTCATATAGTATAACATGTTAGTAAGCTTGATCATTGCGTTTTCATCTTCTATATATAGTAAGCTGGTTCAAATTTTAGCCACTTGCGGGTATGCAAAGCGACATCTAGCCATGATATTGGAAGTTCATTCACACAAGAAAAGTTACTGTACGCATAGCAAATTTTGCTATACAAGGTGTACTTTTTCGTGCTTGTACAGCAACATTTGCTAAGATCATATTATTTAGTATTATGTTTCTTAACATATAATATGTAACTATAAAATAAAATTTACTACAGTGAAATTTTTACTATACACTATAGCAATTATTGTACCGAGTTTTATTAGAATATTTAATACCTTTAAGAATATTTGTTTTAATATTATCAAAATTCCTGATAATAGATCGATGTCACCTCATTACTATTTAGAATAGTAATTTTTACTGTGAATCCTAACAATATTTGTTGTATTATTTTCTCCGTGTAGGATCACTCGTCAGACATCAGTCTGGTGACTGTCCAGTATATTTCCGCTCTGACTAACTGAGCGTTTACGATGTCGGTGAAACTCTACAAAATCTCGCAGACTCACTCGAAATCGTGCCCTCCACAATACATTGTACAACAAGATCGTTTGCTTCTTGAACTTGGGACAATCTCTGTTCCATAAAGTCCAAGAGCTTAGATTTTCAGAGCCTTACAAAGACGAAGAAAATCGAAGCTTCAAGGAATTCGCGCTGATGCTACTGGGGCTAGCTTTCGTTCCTGAGACTGATGTACCGAAGGTTATGCGGTCACTAAAAAAGTCGGCTCCGAACTCACTACAGGCACTTTACCTATACTTTGATGAAAACTATGTAAGTATCACAAACTTCGCTTTGTAAAGTGGTAATATGATGTCATTATTGTACTAATTATATTTTACTTTTTGTAGGTGTCAGGAAAAATACGTGCTTCACCTCCACGCTATTCCATCAAATTGTGGAACCAGTTCGTGGCAACCCAAGAGAGAACACGCAGAACTAACAACATCATCGAGGGATGGCAATTAATGCTGTTGTTTGTTTACTCATTTTTGATATCCCTTACTACACAGTTGTCAAGTATTATGACCCAATTGTTATGGACTCAAATTTTATCTTTCAGCTATGCAGCGATAATAATTCTATAGGAAATATTTACGTGTTTCAAAAAAACTGTACCCTCCGTGGACGTAAAAGTCTTGAGCTAGAATAATTATTTTTAATTGGTCGCACTGTCAAAAGAGTCGTTTTTCATGAACAAGTAGGGCTTGTGTGATGGTTGTTTTTACCATCTATTTATTTTAATACTTTAGGTCAAGGTACGTTTGTGTGCAAAATACCCAAAAATCAATTGCATTTGAAAATTCATAAAAAATGACTTATAGGGCACATGCGATCAAACTGCTCATACTGGGCTTCATGATTGAGTACCAGCAAGCAAGAAAAAAAATTTTGGTTAGAATTGGCCACCCATACTTGGTGGGGTGTCGCTTGTTAGTTAATTACCAACATTATATTATCTTGGGACTAGATGTGTGAAAAACTATTCTTTAAAACTTGTTTTATTTTATTCAATGTGCATCTACTATGATTACATGTTATGAAAGTAGCACTGAAATCAGAATTTTATTGATAACGTCATTAAAATTGATTACCTGTAGTAAGTATCGAACATATTTGGTTCATTTAACATTTTATCTATAAGAGAGTCCCAGTCTTTTGGAAGCAGTGAGGACATTTGGTAAGTTTGCTTTACTGAATATAATTTATACCATACAGGATAATCATAAAGATTGGCTTCTTTTAAATTCATAACCCAACTCTCATGATCTAAAACAAGCTGTAATAATTAAAAAATGTATTATTGTTTCAGAAAATTATCATGTCATTTTTTAGATCAGTATAGGTATGTTTAAACTGGTGTACTGTAAATGTTTAGCATTTATGATCATTTTTCCGAAAACATTTCCTCGAACTAATAGTACCGCTATTTTCGTGAACTTTTCTCCAAAATAACATTCCACTGAAAATCTTCTTTAAGAGTACACACCTTTGTTAAATCCTGTATTATTCTATGAATTAAAAAACATGAGAATGAAATGTTAAAAATGAATTTATTGTTTTTGATGTAAAATTATGTTTTCTCAAGTCTTTTTACATCAGAAAACATATCTCTAACACCTTATTATTTAAATTAGTTCAGTGCGCATCGTAACTTATTATTCTAAAGCTCAGTGCCGTATGAATTTGAATGGATTCTTTGACCAATCTTGCTCCTAGAGGTCTTAAAATTTTTGCAATAATATTCGTCTACACTCAAGTTTAGCAGATTTTTGTTTAAATTATTTTTTTAATTTATCAGTCCTAGAAATCAGCAATAAGCGTTTAAAAAAATCATGTTTAAATTTCTTTTTATATTTTAGTATATGAAAAATTAATTCCCAGCTTTTTTTAAAACACTTTTATACTAAAGTAGAAGAAAATGTTATGACAAGAATTTTAAGACCTGTAGGATCAAGATTGGCTAAAGATTTCATTCAGGTTCATCCAGCACAGGACTTTGGAACGATAAGTCAGTATGGATTCACATTGGACTCATTTAAATAATAAGTTACTAGAGACATGTTTTCTGGTGTAAAAAGACTGGAAAAAATATAACTTTGCATTAAAAATAAAAACAATTTTAATATTTTTGTGTTACTCCGTCCGAACTGCAGCCAAGGATTATCTTACTTTCCGATCTCATAACGCAATATACTTTAAAATTTTTGCTGTGGTTATAGAGAAGATTATCGATTTAAAACAAACAACTAAGTTCCTTCGATAACTTCACGATTGTTATGGCCCCAGATTGCTTCATATCATGATCTCTTTATGATATCATTGCAAAAATGTAACGCAATCAAATTTTGAACAAATTTTAATACAGTTTTTCATTGTTTAACCATCTTTAAAAAAAAATTTAGGGCCTTTTGGTTTTTGATAGGTTATAATAATAAACCTTTATATTATAACTTACCCTTGTAGTTTTTGGATGATCACCATCTACATAATAAATCCGATAGCCAGGATTGAGATCATAATAAGGTGATACTGATGGTCCAATATAAGCTATACTAAGAGCCCGTCCTAAATCGTTAGTATCATAAAATATTTGAAACTCATCATAGTGTGTGTGACCGAAAAATTGAGCAGTTATTGTCGATTCATATCTGCAAATTATATATCAAATTAGAAAAACCGTATAAAAATTAATGTTAAGCATGAATAAATGACTATAAAAACTAAAATAGAGCTGTGGGAGAGCAATGTTAAAATGCTTACCTGTTGATAATATGATAATAATTTCTAGACCAGACTTTCAAACAATCTGAATGTCCCGGTGGTATATGTCCAATTATGTGAACTTTTTCATTATTCATTTCTGCTGCTTGAAGTTCATATACAAGCCATTGCAACTCGTTAACAGGATCAGTGCTATTAATTAATAACCACCAGTTTTTGTTATTACAATAATTGGTATTTATTGAAACAATTCTAAAACCAGGTCTTATAAGAACTGAATAGAAAGCACCTTGTCGAACTGTTGGAGAGGAACCCACAGGTAACCAACGTTGCCATTCTTTATCCAGTTCATTGTAAAGCCATGATATACTGGTATCAGAAGGAGAAAAAGAAGTTGGAAAGCTGAAATGTAAATTTCAATTATTGGTAAATATTGTAATGCTAGATTTTTGGTGGAATCGTCAAGATTCACGCAAATCACAATCACAAAATTCATTTTATAATTAATTCGGTAATGTGATGATGTACCTAACATTGATATCTGCCAGGCAAAGCCTAAATACAAAAACACTTTTACTTAGACGACGATTGCTAAATACGGGTATGTATTATCTTGGAAAATTGCGAACAATTATTTAATTATACCATACTGAAGAGGAACATCGAAAATCAGAAACTCCATCAGAAGTTAACCACGAGAGCTCTACTTTATTATAGTAAATCTATCAATCTACATATTAACATTATTTTTCCAGCATTTTTTTAGCGATCGTGAGCGAGTCGAAGAGACCAAGACACGGCGCCGCCGGTGCCGCACGGAAAACAGGTCCACGCGCGCTGACCCACACTCATTCATCTCGATATCTTTAATACTTTTTATCATTTTTCCATCCTGCAAAACATTGTTTTCAATAGATTTTAACCTCTTCTTTCTATTGGTGCAGTTTATTTTGAAATCGGAGAACACATATTTGAGATAAATTTACTTGAATATTCAAGTCAAGTTTTAACCCAAAAATCAATTTTAAAGAATTTTTTAAGTTACACTACTAGAAAGAAGAGGAAAAACTCTATCGGTCCATGTGTTCAGATTTTATTTTCTGACACGAAAACAACGTTTCTTAGATAAAAAAAATTGTATACAGGCCAAGTCAATTTTTTATATGCGAAGAACGGATGAAGTAAAAAAAATTTTCCATGAACAAAATGTTATGAATTTGTTCAGAAAATACCTCAGAATTTTCGCAGAATTTTTCAACAAAATTTTTGGATTTTTGAAAATAGTCAGATATCAAAAAACCAAAATCGATAAAAAAATATCTGAAAAAATTGAGGCATGTCTGAACAATTCAGTGACTTTTATCACGTATAACATTTTCTGGTGAAATGCTCGATTTTTTAGCTAAAAAATTAGTTTAGAATTCTATCGAAATCATACTTAATTTTTAAATTAAAAATTTTGAAGCATTTCTGAACACATTAAGGAATGATAAAACAGGTTTTTGATATAACTAGACGTTTAAGACGCGCTCCGCGCGTATCAATTTTTTAATTTGTGTTTTGAGGTTAGCAACTTTCACGCGCGCTTCGCGCGCGTACATCTTTCAGTCAGTTTCGAAAAAGTTGCTATTATGACCGTAGATGTCACTTTATTACGTTTCGACTCGAGTCAAAAGTCAGTCGACCAATCAGAGGCCGAATAGATTGGCTTCACTTTTAGGTCCATCTCTTTTTTATAAGTTAGATTAGTGCTCTATTGAGATAGAAGGACTTAATAAAAAAAGGGCAAAAGGCAAAAATTTTTTTAAATTTGTCGAACAACTGAAAAAATATATTGCTTCCTCTATGAGGAAACTTTGTGACGGGCTGAATTTCAGCATTCGTAAATAAGCATCGTAGGGAAAATTCGATGATATTTCCTTAAACTAGATCGAATTTCTGACACATGTTGGTATGTATGTATGTGTGTGTGTGTTTTTTTTTTTTTTTTTTTTTTTTTTTTTTTTTTTTTTTTTTTTTTTTTTTTTTTTTTTTTTTTTTTTTTTTTTTTTTTTTTTTTTTTTTTTTTTTTTTTTTTTTTTTTTTTTTTTTTTTTTTTTTTTTTTTTTTTTTTTTTTTTTTTTTTTTTTTTTTTTTTTTTTTTTTTTTTTTTTTTTTTTTTTTTTTTTTTTTTTTTTTTTTTTTTTTTTTTTTTTTTTTTTTTTTTTTTTTTTTTTTTTTTTTTTTTTTTTTTTTTTTTTTTTTTTTTTTTTTTTTTTTTTTTTTTTTTTTTTTTTTTTTTTTTTTTTTTTTTTTTTTTTTTTTTTTTTTTTTTTTTTTTTTTTTTTTTTTTTTTTTTTTTTTTTTTTTTTTTTTTTTTTTTTTTTTTTTTTTTTTTTTTTTTTTTTTTTTTTTTTTTTTTTTTTTTTTTTTTTTTTTTTTTTTTTTTTTTTTTTTTTTTTTTTTTTTTTTTTTTTTTTTTTTTTTTTTTTTTTTTTTTTTTTTTTTTTTTTTTTTTTTTTTTTTTTTTTTTTTTTTTTTTTTTTTTTTTTTTTTTTTTTTTTTTTTTTTTTTTTTTTTTTTTTTTTTTTTTTTTTTTTTTTTTTTTTTTTTTTTTTTTTTTTTTTTTTTTTTTTTTTTTTTTTTTTTTTTTTCTACTCCACCCCATTCGGACACTCACCGGTATCCGCCGTTAGGCATTGCTTCGGTGAGGCCGGGGTTGGTTGAGCATTTCTGCTACTCCTGTTAGTCGTTGTTTTTCCATACATCTCCCATCCGTCGCATAGTGATATGCGACGATTAGGGGTTCAGGGACTCATCTTTATCTTCTTGGTGAACCTCCGATCCCGCACGATGCCGTCGGCGATTGTCGTATCCCCTTTTTCAGAGCCGTCTATTGCGTGGGCTCACATTGCTGGCATCTCCTCCTGAGTTGGGCCTCTCTTCTTAGAACTCGCTGTCAAGTGCCATCTTGTGAGTGTGGTTCTCGCTTCAGGCGCCATCTGTGCTCCAGCAGAGCCTTGGCTCTCACATCCGGCGCCCTCTTGTGAGTGTGGTTCTCGCTTCCGACTTCATCATGGGAGTGGTGTGCTCCATCTATTGCCAGCCTTGCGAGTCCTCACCTCGGGCTCCTACTTATGGTTTTCCTATCGCTTCCAGCTCGCACAGTGATCGGGGTTTTTTACCGCTTCGGAGGCTGATGACATAGCCCGGGTCTTCTTTTTAAGTGGTACCCGCTCCACCTCAGCCACAGGCTCGACCACACCAGGCGAAAAAACGAACCTCGAAAATTCGTCTGGTGGGGATCGAACCCACGCCCTACGGCGTACCTTGTATCAGCAGGCAAGAACTATACCCACTGAGCCAAGGAGGCCGATATGTGTGTGTGTGTGTGTGTGTGTGTGAAGACGCTGCACTGCGGCGAGAATATCTCTCCCTAAAGTAGCTACAATCATTTAACTTATGTGCTGCTTATACATGTACAGAGACAAGATCAATGTAAAAAAGCTCAAGGAAATCGGTGAACTTCGAGATTAGTCTACGAAATGTTGAGTAGTTCTACAAAACACTGCTAGGTGACGAGGCGCCCAAAAAAGTTGAAACCTTTGTAACGTCGCGAGACGCGACTTTAATATTAATAAATAAAATGATTTTAAACTGGCTGGAAGTAATGGTCTGAACGTCGAACAGTTCAGACGTGCTTATACCGAGAGCTTGGGCCCTTTGTAAACATTACATTCGATTTCTCTAAAATTGTAATAACAGTGTTAGTCATAGTGCTTTATTTGAATAAACACCGAAATGGCAGACGAAGTGGTCATTCAGCCCACTAATTTTGTCATGAAAAAACCCGCTCCAGAGTCGGAATAGACGATTAAATAGCGCAAGAGGAAAAGCTCGAGCTCACCATAGGGGATTCCAGTTTTTTGCAAACGACAAACAAGTATCCCCGACTACTGGCTAAACATTCTAGCAAACAAGCCAACAAGCACGAAAAATTTATTCTCACCTCTGGAGAGTGTAAGGTAAGATGAGGATCCTGAAACTTCTGAGAAAGCAGAGAGCGGTGCAGAAGAAAAGAGAGAAAAACCACCGATATTTGTCAACGCCGTCCAATACAACCTCTAAAATTAGAGTTAAACGCGATTGCAGGAAACGAGTATTACTTGAAAATCTTAAACAAAATTCAAACAATAAAGATATTTACAAAATTGGCAGACTTTTAAACTCGGTAGTCAGTTTCGAGCCTCCGCGTAAAAATAGAGATACTCCTTATTGCACGAGGTACCAGATACACGGTCACACTAAAAACTACTGCTACAATTTCTCGGTATGTGTAAAATGCGCTAAAAACCATCTCACCAGTATGTGCCCTATTAAAGAAAAAATAAAAGAAGTAATATGCGTAAACTGTCAGGGGAACCACTTAGCTAGCTACAAGGGTTTCATCGTCCGTAAGCAACTGCAGCAAAAATTATATCCAGTCTTCCGCGACAAAAAATGAGACGGTCAAAATAACTGCTCTAGACGAATTTAAACTAGAAATATCGTCTCTAACATCTCATACGCACAGGTATATAATGGATCACCTCAATCGAAACAAATACATGCAAAGGCAACGGCTGTAGCAGAAAACAATAACATAAATAACAATTCTACACTCAAACTTGAGAGAATGATGGCTCAACTCATGTCCCCTATGGATACTATGCTAAAACTCCTAACTACAACTATTAACAAATTATAAATGGGAAACGAAAAAGCACTTACTATAGCAGGGTGGAAGGCTAACGGTCTAGCCCAACGTAGTTTGGAATTGAACTCATTTTCAATCATGAACAAAATAAACATCATGTTCATCTCAGAGACTCATTTTACTAAAAAAACCTATCTCAAAATACCCAACTACATTATCTACGACACCCAACATCCGAGCGGGAGAGCCCATGGTGGTACAGCTATAATCATAAAATCTTTTATCAAATACTACGAACTTGAAAATAATAAAGAGGACTACTTGCAGGCAACAAGTATAACAGCTGAAACCTACAAAAATCCCATCACATTCTCAGCCATCTACTGTCCACCAAAATATACCATTAAACAAGAGCATTTCACCAAATTCTTTGAGAGATTGGGTACCCAGCTCATTACAGGTGGTGATTATAATGTTAAACATCTATCCTGGGGCTCACGATCCCAAACACCTAATCCTCGTGGTAAACAACTGCATGAAGCTGTACATCAAAATAATCTAACCTCTGTTTTAACAGGGGAACCCACATACTGTCCATCTGATTTAGCAAAAGCCCCAAGCCTCATTGACTCTTTAATTGCCAAAGGCATATAAAGTCATTATCAATTCATTAAGATTATTTTTCGGTAGTGGACGCGATACCCTTTAAATTGATACCTACGTAGGC